ATATACATTCAGTAACTGTTTACTTATTGTATGACATACATTTGTATAATCCATTAAGCTTTGCCAACTGTGAATTTTTTATTTTATAAGTTGTAACTCGTAGATTTAATAAAAAGGTGTAATATTTTAAATACAATATTACAAGTTAAAAGATGAGTTAGTAAAGTTGATATGTTATAGTTATTCTATGTTTTATTATAGATATCATTAAAACATCATGGGCAGCTTTTGATATTATGCATGATTGCGACTGCACTGCAATTATGCATAATATCTCAGCTGCCCATGATGTTTTAATAATGTCAATGACAAATATATAGAACAACTGATTTATTTTCATGGATCCTAACACTCATAATTTTTTACTGTTATTTTCATAGCCTCTTCACAATAAATTAAACTCTTTCAATGAGTAATAAAAAATTTAATACTTCACTTCCAGCTTTTAAACTGCAAAACAGATGTTAAAAAAAACCAATACAACTATTTTAGCTACATCTAATGATATCATAACCAATAATGATACATTTAATAATTCTTCAAGTGATGCACAAAAAAAAGCTGAATATTATTATGAAAAGGTTAAAAATAAAAATACAGAAAGATCTACAAAAAATTAGATGATAAAGTTTAACGAATTTCATGCTAGCTCTGGATATTAAATTCCTTTAACAGACTTACATGATTTAAAATAAATTGAGAAAGAAATTGTTAAATACATTTCAAGCATAAAAAAAAAAGATGGTAGCAAGTATAAAGCAAATTCTGTTAAACAAGCAGTTGATGCAATAAGCTAATTTTTTCTTTATAATTTACCAATTTGGGTTAATTTACATAATCGATATTTATTTCCAAATTTATATATTGTTTTACATGGAAAAATGCAGGATCTTCAAAAACATGGATTTGGTGAAGTAAAAGGTTCGATAGCATTAAATTCACAATATATTTACAAAATTTTACAGTATCCAAAAATAGATTATAGTAATCCAACAGATTTATTATATCATATTTATTTTATACATCTATCAATTCTTCTTGTGATGCATGGTGGTAAACATTATCAACTTAAAATTAATTAGTTTAAAATTGATAGAAATGGTATGTAGTA